CCTTCTAATCCTCAGCATTCTAATTTGTAGTGTCAACCCACAGAAGATAAAATGTATGCATGTTGCCTTCACAAAAACACATTTTGAAAATGGTTAAGATTCTACTGTTTATCCTAATCTCAAAATATAGTCTTCCTGGCTATTTTGCCCATGACTAGTCAGTCTTTCTCTCTCCTTCCTATAGTCTATGTAAACTTTGTCAAGACCTATACTTCCCAAAACTTTCCAAGGCTTCCCATCATCAAACAACCAACATTCTCATCAAGCTTATGGGATCAAGGAATCAATGCTTTGCAGTATCAGCTTCCCCACATAGCTAGAGAGGATGAAAACATAGCGTCCACGTCCCTTCATCCTCTTCTCTACCCTCAGCACACTGACTACTCACTCCCATGTCCTCTTACACTCAAGGGACGCCTACCAAAAAAATGTGACTGCTCTTTTTTTCTCAGCTACTACATTATCTTCGCCTCCTAGGACAGCACAAATAAAAAAGTTATACATAGGCACATGCCTGTCATAGTCTTTCATGACTGATAAACACACAGGGAGCAGAGGCTAAGTCACAACTGACAACCCAAAGGATCCAAACAGACAGTATTTGTCGAAAAGATATTTTTTAATGAGAGGTAAACAAGGGAAAGTTTCTTTCCTTCCACATTTAAGAAGTCATATCATTCTGTTCATAAAGCCTAAGTGATCATCAACCTAGATCTACTTCCAAACTGATTTAGCTCAAAGTTTATCTTTCCTCTGAATCATACAAGTATTATTCACAAGAAATAAACTTTCACAAGAAACAAACTCTCACAAGAAAGAATAAGCAGCTTTGATAAAGAAGTGTGAGAAAAGAGTATGTGAGAAAGCACAGAGGACAGAAGAGATGGTTTTAAAGAAAACATTCATTACAAAAAAAAGAGGCATGGAGCTATACCCCTAAACACACAGTGTTGGAAACCAACATTACATCACTAACATTTTTTTTAAATTATAAAGTTTTTAAGTGCTGAAATGGAAAATGAAGAGCATGACCAAAGAATATAGAAGAAAAGTGTATATAGTTTTTTGGTGCTTCAATTTTGAAAACAAATGAATAAACTGGTAATTTCACCCAATCAGTCATCTGAACTTCTTGGGAAATTCCTAGGAATCAAGATCAGGTTGGATTTGTGAAATTCACTGCACTAGATGATTGAGTTAAATGCCTTTATAAGATCTCTGCATCTTGTAATATTCCTTCTTCAATGTTTAAGATTTTCATTAACTCGGTCAACAAACATTTGTGCCACAAAGTCAGACATCAAAAGAAACAAAAGGAAGTAAGACAAAGTTCCTGCTTTCGAGGAACTTACAGCCAGGTCTAGGCGAGCACATGTGAGCATGTAGTGAGTGATTCAGTGATTCAGCATCTGAGAGAAAACACAAGAAAGGAGCAGTCAGATAAGACTTTGAAGAGACGGGAACACTTGAGTAGAAGGGAAGGGACCCATAGAGTGAATATCACATTCACAGGTAAGATGTGCAGCATGGCCCACCAGAACCTTGCTGGTCCCTAGACCACAGTCTCTTTTCTTATATGGGGGTCTATTAGAAATGCAGAATTTCAGCACCCTGTCTAGACCTACAAACTCTAAATCTGCATTTAGTAAGATCCCCAGGGAATTCTTTTTTTTTTTTTTTTTTAAAGATTTATTTATTTATATAAGCACTGGGTGCAGTCAGAGGTGCAGGAGAGTGAGAGAATTCACCAGAGCCAGAGCGGAGAGTAGAACTGGCAGAGTGACGAAGTACACTGCTCAGGGGAGCAGCCGGAGGCAGGAGAGGTCTGCGCGCCATGTGGGACCCTCACCCGGTGGCTGGGGATCGAACCCGCGCTGCAGAGGCTGCAGGCAGCTTCACAACCCAGCGCTCAATCGCTGCACCACCGGGGAGGCGCTCCCAGGGAATTCTTATGTGCATAGTTTTCTCCTGTAGAATATGTCCAAGTAGTAGTTTGGTATGGATAGAATATAGAACGTCATGGAAGGAACTCAAGAAATGAAGACTGAGAGGCATCCCAGATCAAGAAGCATCTATGCTAAAGGGTCTCCTAAAGGAGTCACCAGTGTCAAACTGTAAATAGAAAAAAATCATGATCAAATTACTAGAGAGACTAGGGAAAGGGGGAGGAGGGTCAGATGGAGGAAGAGGGGATCCACTCCAGATGAAATTGATCTAACAGGATTGAATCATCTGTACAATCAACAAATAGGAGGGTGAGACTGAAGGGTGTCAATGAAATATGAATGAGAGGTCTGAAGAAGCAACTAGAAATACTAACATTGACTAAACCAGGGAACACAGGAGCAACAGACTTGGCAAGAAATGTAAGTCCAATTTGAGATGTTGGGTTTGTAGTACCTGTAGTTAATCAGTGGAGAAATCATGTCATCAGATAAGTAGTCAGGTAGGCCTGAGGGCTTGAAAATGGAAAAGGGAATGAAAAAAGTAGGTAAACAAAAAAAGGATCAAGAGGGAGAGGAACCCCCAATGACATGAGCATTTAAGAAGCAGCAAAAAAGCCAGTAAGAAAAATCCTAAGAGAATCAAGAAAGAGTGGCGTCACTGATGACAAGGCTCATGAAAGCAAAAATGGGAGACTGATCCTCTTTTTTTTTTTTGTTTTTTTTTTTTAAAGATTTATTTATTTGTTTATACAAGCACTGGGTACAGTCAGAAGCGCAGGAGGGTGAGAGAATTCACCAGAGCCAGAGCGGGGAGCAGAGCAGGCAGAAGGACCGAAGTACACTGCTGAGGGGAGCAGCGGGCGGCAGGAGAGGTCTGCGCGCCATGTGGGACCCTCCTCCGGTGGCCGGGGAGCAGCCGGGGATCGAACCGGCGCCGCCGAGGCTGCGGGCAGCTTTGCAACCCAGCGCTCAACCGCTGCGCCACCAGGGGAAGCCCGACTGATCCTCTTTGGATGAGTGAATTACTGGTGATTTTTAGTTTATGGTTTTTACAACTGTATTTTACTACTGTTCCTCAACACATGAGGCAAAACGTAACTCATGTCTTATAATTTTTTAAAAATACAGTAAGAAATTACTAAATAAGACACTGGCCTTTTCCAGTGGTGTGATTGCAGCCGGTGAAATGGTGAAATGAGGATATGAAGGAGATGGGGGTACGGAAAGCAGAGCCTGGGGAGCAAATGAAGTCAGTCCACAGTCCCAGGAAAGGTTTTGTTTTTCAGGTGGGAAAGCTCTAGACCTACTTACGAGCTGTGGAATGGGATTATATAGAAATAAGCAGCACACAGTGGTAAACAAATCTTTCTTGTTCTCATGTAATTCTCTTTCTATAAAGGAAACAGAACAGGTAAATTACAAGATAAGTGAAACATACCATGGATAAAATAGGGTGAGGTCTTTTTTTAGGCTGAGTGTTAAGGTAAAGCTTCTCTGAAGAAACAGCCTGAATACAAGAGATCAGCTTTTCAAAGATAAGGGGGAAAAGCCTCATAACCCCTCCTTCACAGATAATGAAACTGAAGATCAAAGAGGTTAAGTAAGAGTATACAGCACGGAAATGAAAGCCAGGCCTGATGAACACCCAGACCAATATCCTTTTGAACAGACTGTGTTCCCTCTTTAGTTTTTCTGAAATGCAACAGTAAAGGCAGCAATAACATCGACCCTCTTCTGGCCTCAGAAGGGATGTTAAGGACAAGAAAAATAAAAGTAACTGGCATAATTTTCTCAACAGAAACTATAAAAGTCAGGAGACGTAGTTCTGCAAAAACAGAGGCATGTCTTCTGAAGGTTAAGCTGTTCAGGTCTAGTAAGAAAAAACAGGCAGCCTCCAAATCACAAGTAGGTTACATTCCCAAGATTTATAACTAAGTCATTAAGAAATCACAAAATATTTCCCCCACAAAATTTTACACAGTCAGGTTTCCAGTCTGGTCCACAAAGGTTCATGCAGTCACGATTATTACTATATACAGGCCCCACATTAAGTTTTATATAGTTAATCTCGTGCAGTACTGCTAATAGCACTATCACTGCTCTCATCTTTTAACTAAGGAAACTGAGACCTGGAAATGTTGAGTAACTTGTCCAATGGCATCATGCAAATAGGAGGCCTGCAGTACAATCCTGACCTATTCCAGATTCTTGGTCCTTCTGAGTCTCCCCAAAAACCTTTACATATAAATACTAATCTTTCAAAGAGCAGCTTGTCCCCAATTCTAAAGCAGCATCTCAGGTTGTCAGATTACTACTCAAATGAACGTTTTCATTAATGTTCCTTATCCCCCCGCAGGTCTATACCAAATCCATGTCCCCATAAACCTGATGCATGGGGGCATTTACTCACACATTTGACACCCACTAAGACTTTAAGTTGCCTTTGCATCCCCAGGTCCCAATGGAGCGCCTTCGATTTGTTCAATCTATTCATTTATTGACACCCTGCTGGCAATCCCCAGCCATACACCTTCCTTAACGATGGAGGACAACTCCAATCGAGAAAACGCAAAACGGATCCAAATTAAATGTGTAAGCTAGCCCTAGCTCACCCAACACTTCCAATCCATCCCGCCAACCCTAAACTTCTCAAGAGCTAAGTGCTAGATGGTTAATGTCACCACCAACGTTCGCACGTGGGACATCACCCAAGGCGTCTGACTCTATGGAAAGGCGTGACAGATAGGGGGGTTCGAAGCCCTCTTCAGCTCCAAAGGTGCTCAGTACACAGAGGGCAGAAAGACCCAGTCCCGGGCGGCGAGGGCAAGCTCCACGCCGGAAGCACGCCAGGCCCGAGGCCATGACCTTCCCAAGGCGACCAAGCCTGCCACCGAGCCCCGGGTGCAGGCGCACGGTCCGAGGCCCGGGGGCAGCTGGCGCTGCGGTGCAGGGCACAGCATGCAAAGGTCACCGCGGAGCCCGACCCCGGCCGGGGCCGATGCCCACCCGGGACGCCCACGCTGCAGGCGGACTGGGGCAGCGGCCGGCACTCACCCGGCTGCGGGCCCGGCGAGGGGCCGGCCCGGGCCACCCGCGAGGAGGCGCAGGGAGAGCGGCAGGCGCGAGGGCGCCCCGGCACGGAGGAGCCAGCGGGCGGGTCTGAGCAGGGCTGCCATCGCTCCGCGTCCCGGTGCAGGAAGCACGCTCGATGGAAGGACAGGGGGAGCACGTGACCGCCCGGCGCCCTGCGCGGGCGAGACCAACGGCCCGGCGCGCCCAGTGCAGGGGGAGGCAGGAGCCCCTGGAGGCCGACGGGCGGGGAGATTGGATATTCTGAGGACATGGGAGGCCCAGGAGATGTGTCCGTGGCCATATGCACTTGCTCTGTGATTTAGCCGACTTTCTTTTCCCGCCTTGTCGGTTTCGCCCCAGCGTGCGCGGTCGGTGCACCCTGCATTTTTCTGTTGGTAGAATCAGAAGAGGTCGACCCCGTCCGGGTTAGCGCACAGGCTTATGGGGGGCCAACTGGCAAAAATCCGTGCGACTCCCCCCCCCCACCAAAGCCGACTGTGACAGTCCCAGAGTGTGGCGCTGGGGCGTGCAGCTGCGCGCCGGGCGCGCTGCGCGCCGGAGCTGCTGCTGCTGGGCACGCGCTGGAGCTCCCCGTGCGCGAGGAAGACGTTGGGGACCTTTGCACTGTGCTGGGGGCCACCAGAGTTAGCTGTGGACGTGATCGGTTGCATTCGTCCCAGGGGACAGTGGCGAGGCATTCATAGTCCAGCCCTAAGTTCCTTAGCTGTGCCACACTTTATGGCAAATGTCGATTAATTGTAAAGGTGGGAACTAAGCTCGTTATCTTTCCCTCGGCCCCCACCCTGCCTCTTCCTGCAGTAGATGCACCAGATTTTGAGGTAAATGAATTATGTGTTAAGAGGCTGGAGCGAGGGCCGCCCTGGTGGCACAAGGGGTTAGGCACAGCACTGTGAAGCTGTCTGCAGACTCTGCAGCGTGGGTTCGATCCCCTGACCAGACAAGGAGAGACCCACACGGTGCGGCAGACCTCTCCTGACTCTCCTGCTGCTCCCCTCAGCAGGGTGTTTCAGTAGATCTGCCTGTTCTGCTTCCCACGCTGTCTCTGTTGAATCCTCTCACCCTCCCGCACCTCTGGCCTGTACCCTAGTTCTTGTATGCATTAATAAATACATCTTAAAAAAAAAAAAAAAGTATGGAGCCAAATCTGGTATAAAACAGGCTGCCCTTGCCCTCACAAACTGTAAAGTCTGGAAGGATTCTCTGTGACATGTGGGAAGCGGAAAACAGGCTTCAACTTGCTTCCACTACTTGTATCCTACCCACTCCCAAATGAACACTCAGACGTTTGCCCTGGAAGCCTTCCCATGGCCCTTGCCGGTTTTGCTGGCTATGGCACTGGACATGGAGCTCCTTGAGAGCAAGGGCTGTGAGCTTTCTTGTAAATGAAGCATCCATCCAGTCCAGGCACACAGTTAAGTCACATTAAATGTTTACTGGATAAATGTATTTTCAGATCAACTAACTCATGTTGCCTTTGAGGAATGCAGAAAGTGAGGTTTAAAGAAATTGAGATTTAAAAAATTTAGTCTGGGTTATATTTCTAGGCATTAGAAATATGATTTATTTATTCACTCATTTAACACTTACTTCAGTGCCAAGTATGATTTGCGACCCTAGACAGACAAATCCAGACTCTGATTAAACTCTACAAAGTTAAGTTTGTAAAGAGAGAGAAGAACTGTGATGTAAAATAAACCAGGGTAAAGGAACTGAGGATGTCATGTTTAGCCCCTTCATAGAACAGTAGGATGGATGATGTGATGGCAGGGAATGGAGGGATTTTGTGCCAGGAGGTCTAAGGAAGTTGGACACTTTATCTTGCAGGATATTTTAGGCCTGTAAGAACTTTGATTTTGATATTCAGAATAAGATTGGAAAGTTTGGTGTGTTGATTTATGAATCCATTGCATTTTTAAAGAATCACTCTCACTGCTGATTGGAGAGGTGATTTTAAGGGAATAAGGGTGAATAAAATTAAGGAGACAGGATGTTCTTACAATAATCCAACAGATAGTGGATTAGGGAGGTGGCATCTGAGATAATGAGAAAAGTTAAGTTCTCACTGTGTTTAAATAGCAGAACCAAGAGGATTTACTGATAGATTGGCTGTGTGGGGTAAGTTGAGGAAGACCAAATTTTTTTTTTTTTATAGTAAAGACAGTTTATTTTTTTTTAATTTTTTATTTTTTTATAATAATAAATTTTATTTTTATATTCCCCATACAATTGCAACCCCCCCATTCTGACCCCAATCCCTCTCCTCCCACCCCCCACCCCCAAAAAGTGCCTCTGGGTTCATAGTTTTTTGTTGATTTTGATTTTCACTTTCTTATAGTTATTCATTTTCCTGGTCCCTTATTTAAGTTTTCTAGATTCCTGCTATGAGTGAGACCATCCGGTATTTTTCTTTTTCTTTTTGGCTTATTTCGCTGAGCATGATCCCTTCCAGCGCCATCCATGTTGCTGCAAATTGCATGTGTTTATCTTTTTTGGATGCTGAGTAATATTCCATGGTGTATATGTACCACATCTTCTTGATCCAGTCATCTATTTTTGGGCATTTGGGCTGTTTCCAAAGCTTAGCTATTGTAAATAGTGCTGCTATAAACATAGGGGTGCAGGTGTTCTTTGGAATTGATGTTTCTGTGTCCTTTGGGTAAATACCTAGGAGTGGAATTACTGGATCATATGGAAGCTCTATGTTTAGTAGGTCCAGAAATCTCCACACAGCTCTCCATAGTGGTTGGACCAGTTTGCACTCCCACCAACAGTGTAGAAGAGTTCCTTTTTCTCCACACCCTCGCCAACATTTGTTGTTGCTAGTTTTTTTAATATGTGCCATTCTCACTGGTGTAAGATGGTATCGCATGGTAGTTTTGATTTGCATTTCCCTGATTACAAGTGATGTTGAACATTTTTTCATATGCCTGTTGGCCTTGAAATTCTTGAGATACAAGGAACATACCTCAACATCATAAAGGCCATCTATGACAAGCCAACAGCCAGTATCATTCTCAATGGTGAAAAGCTGAAAGCAATTCCATTAAGATCTGGAACAAGACAAGGATGCCCACTCTCACCACTGCTTTTCAATATAATACTGGAAGTCCTAGCCAGGGCAATAAGACAAGAGAAAGACATCCAAGGAATCCAAATAGGAAAAGAAGAAGTCAAACTATCACTATTTGCAGATGATATGATATTATACATAGAGAACCCCAAAAACTCCACAGAAAAGCTAATTCAACTCATCAATCAGTTCAGTAAAGTGGCAGGATACAAAATCAACACGCAAAAGTCAGTAGCCTTCCTATACACAAACAATAAATCTGAAGAAGAAGAAATAAAAAAAAACCATCCCTTTTATTATTGAAACAAAAAAAATCAAATATTTGGGAATAAATCTAACAAAAGAGGTAAAGGACCTATACAAAGAAAACTATAAAACACTGTTAAAAGAAATAGAAGAAGACACAAAGAAATGGAAAGACATCCCCTGCTCATGGATTGGAAGAATAAACATTATTAAAATGGCCATCCTACCAAAAGCAATATACAGATTCAATGCTATTCCAATCAAAATTTCAATGTCATTCTTCAAAGAAATAGAACAATTATTGATGGAAATTCATATGGAATCACAAAAAACCCCGAATAGCCAAAGCTCTCCTGAAAAAAAAAGAAGGGAATGGAGGCATCACACTCCCAGACTTCAAACTCTACTACAAAGCCATAATCATCAAAACTGCATGGTATTGGAACAAGAACAGACACACAGACCAATGGAATCGAATAGAAAGCCCAGAAATAAACCCACAGATTTATGGTCAACTAATCTTTGACAAAGGAGCAAAGACTATGCATTGGAGCAAAGAAAGTTTGTTCAATAAATGGTGCTGGGAAAACTGGGTCGCTACATGCAAAAGAATGAAGCTTGACCACTACCTCACACCATACACAAAAACCAACTCAAAATGGATTAAAGAACTAGACATAAGACCTGAAACCATAAAATATATAGAAGGAAATATAGGCGAAACACTACGTGATTTGCACATCAAAGACATCTTTACAGACACATCACCCAAAGCAGTGATAGTGAAGGCGAAGATAAACAGCTGGGACTACATCAAATTAAAGAGCTTCTGCACAGCAAAAGAGACAATAACAAAAACAAGGAGAAACCCCACCAACTGGGAGAACATTTTTGCACCCAACACTAATGATAAAGGATTGATCACAAAAATCTGCGAAGAGCTGATGAGACTCAACAACAACAAAGAAAATAATCCAGTCAAAAAATGAGCAGAAGAGCTAAAAAGAAATTTCTCTGAAGAGGAAATGCAAATGGCCGGAAGACCAAAATTTTTGACCTAAGGAATTGGAAAGATTGAGATGGCAGTGGTTAAAATAGAGGAAGACTGAGGGAAAAGCAGATTTAAAGGTGACCTCAAAAGTGAGCTTCTGGAATATTAACCTTGAGGTAACTTCTTATATCAAAATGTCAAGTTGGGGTAGGAATTTGGCTGTATGACATACAGGTCTGGAGTTCAGGGGAAAGGTCAGGGTTAGAGAAACATTTGGGACTCTACAGCCTGTTCTTCATAGTTAAATCCATGGAAATGGATGAAAGTCTCTAGAAAGAAAATGTAGCTGAAGATAAGAGAGAAAGTCTAAATACTGAGGGATGTGACAGTTCAGTGTTCAGAAGATGTAAATGAAAATCCAGCACAGAAAACTAAAAAAATAGCCAGGTGAGAGAGCCAAGAGAGTGGTGAGGTCCCAAATAACTGGGCAAAGGAAGTCTTTTAAGGACGGAATTAGCAACCATGCAAAATGTTGCTCTTAGTTCTGGCAAGTTGAGTACTCAAGATTGGACATAGAATTTGCCAACTCAGAAGGCCCTTGATCCTGACAAAAGTCATTTTGATGACATGTTGAGTCAAAAGACTGGTTAAATTAAATTGCAGATAACATGGAAGAAGAAGTGGAGATGGAGCAGACAATGTATTGTAGAGGATTCTGTGAAGGAGGGAGCAGAGGAATGGGTGGTATTTGTCAAGGGTGTGAAGTAAAAAGAAATTAGGTGTTTTAAGATGGAAAAAATATGTCAAATACTGATGCAAATCACCTATATGCAATTACTTAAATTAATTTAAATTTAAAAATTCACTTCCTCTGTGAGTAGCCATGTTCCAAGTTCTCAATCGCCACTAGTGCTAGTAGCTACCATATTGAAGAGCACACAGAACATTTCCATCACCATAAGAAATTCTACTGGACAGTGCCACAGCAGGGAATGGCGAATGATAATGCATGAAAGAGAGAACATTGAGTAGGCAAGAGGGGTGGGATCCAATACAAAAGTGAAGGGGTTGGCTTTAGGTAAGAATTGAGAGAATACAAACATTGTCGCAAAAAGAAAGACAGGGTATGTGGTTATAGATGCAACAAGACTGGCAGAGACAGTGGTGAGAATGAATGGATGTTCTCTTCCAATTGCTTCTAGCCCTGAAGTCCTTAATCCCCAACCAACATTCTCTCCTTTACAATACCAGGCTTCCTTGTGAATTGCTGATGAAGTCTATCGAGGCGTTCACTTGTTCACTCATGAGTATATTCAGTATTTATTGGGCACTCATGACTGCCAGGCAGGAAGTTAAGTACAAGCAAAAATATAATGGGCAAGAACAGAATATATTCCAGGGACAAGGCAAATATTAAATAATGGTGTAAAATGAATTACTCACTGAAATAGGGGTTCTGAAGGAGACTTGTTTCCATGAATGAGTATGTCTAATCTGAGAGTCAAAAAGGT